GCCAGTATGTCAGTGTAAGTATGCTCCTGCGGTATAGATAATGGATAGTGTATATTGCCAGTATGTCAGTGTAAACATGCTCCTGCGGTATAGATAATGGATAGTGTATATTGCCAGTATGTCAGTGTAAACATGCTCCTGCGGTATAGATAATGGATAGTGTATATTGCCAGTATGTCAGTGTAAACATGCTCCTGAGCGCCACATTTCTGAATGAGTCATTTCCCACTTACTCATTATCACTGACCGATTGTTAGGTTCTTCTATTAAATTGGAACAATTTTACATTGCGTTATGATAGGGATGATACGTAGCGTGTATCTGCGCAATGATGTGACGAGTGAAAACTTCGATCGCGTTGCGGATCCTGAAAATATCAACCTTTTTCAAAGATATTTTGCACGTTTAATAACGAGGTCCAGTGACTACTTTTCTGCTCTATCGGAAATTGCTATTGGAAATTTAGATTTTTTCACCCCACCCTACTGTGGACGCTCATTGCAAATCTGTCCCGTTCACGCTGGCAGCCTTCATTATACTGCCTGCTCTTCAATCTACTGGAAGAAATCTTCATGGGCACCTCTGTCTTCACCTGCTCATTTGCTCTTCCTCAAAGGCAAGTTCCTCAAAGCGTTTGGTTCAGAATGAAGTCAGACCCTGTCAATGTGCCACAGAGTTCTGCTGGACAGCATGTATATCTGGAGGTCTGCCCCTGCAGTGGATGTGTCTGGGAGGACGGCATTAACTAGGAAGTCAAATGCAAACGCCTTTCTTTCTGAGTCTCACCAACGCACCACAGACAGAGTATCAAAAGCTACATGCACACAAAGTGCTACACACACTGAGAGAAGTGAACCTCTGTGCACACATGCACACGCACACACACCTTTGTATTCATATCTTTGTGGGGACTGTCCATTAATTTCTATGGGAAAAGCCCTAATCCCAAGAATGACAACCTTAAACCCTACCCAGCCCTAACCTTAACTATGAGTAATACTGGTCTTGGTATTTTTGATTTTTTGATTGCAATCAGAGATTTTTATAAAATTGAGTTTCCCTTGTGGGGACTGAAAAAAATGGTCCCCACAAAGTCAAAATAGCAGGTTTTTTATCACATTATGGGGACACTTGTATCATTAGATGACTCTCCACCTGAAACTGCTGCCCAGTGTTTGTGACCCACTGTTGTCTCCCGGGATGGATGGAATGTGCACAGTTAAAAAATGCATGAAACCCCATGAAAGAACAGAGCATGCATGACATCTTATCCATTACACATTATTTACATATTACACATTATTTGACAACAGTGGTTTTCCAAGACCTATTGTTATACAGATGAATGGAGACTATTCTAGCAATTATGCAAAAAATAATCACGGTCAGCTCAAATAATCGCAATCAGGCAATTATGTAATAGTGACAGGTCCAAACCAAAGCCAATCAGTCACTAACCAGCATTACTGACCCCTGAACCGGACCAATACTTTTTCAAGCCACCCAACCAATCACATCCACTTTTCACAGGGTATTTTCACGAAGCGGCTTGCACATCTCAAAAGAGACAAAAGAACTGCATCTGTAGACCCAAAATAGAAGTACTTAACTACTCTGCTCTGATTCCCTCTGCGTTCAAATGGCAGCCAGCCAGAATGCAGGAGGACGGACTCTTCCTGGCAACAGCAGGGAACCTTTTAATTGCCCCCCTTCCCATCAGGATGAGACCCAAAGCCACCTCAGCCAACCTTTCTCCACATTGATTGGGAGGGAGATGCCGCTGTGTCGTCACCACAGGGCCCCAGTGTGACCTTTCTTCCTCCAAGGAGCTCTTAGAAGCTCACAGAGACAGGAGGCTGCCCACCACTACACCTGGCATGATGACCATAACACCCAGCATTCAGGCTCCTCTCCTGCTTCTTCACAAGACAACCTGGCTTTCATACCACCCGTCTTCCAACTGACAACCTTGATGGCCCATTTCCAGTTTCCAATCAAATCAAGCTGTAGAATGCTACAGGAGCCCTAAAGACAGCAAGGACACCACTGCCAGGAGAGACCATGGAGATGGCTGACGTTCCTGAAAGCCCCAAAAGCAAAGATCACAAATTCACCCTCCAAAGACAAGGAAGAGCCATGGATACTCACAGCCCACCATCATCATGGCCACGGAGAAGATCTTCTCGCCATCGGTGGTGGGAGCAATGTTTCCAAAGCCGATAGTAGTGAGGCTGGTCATGGTGAAGTAGAGGGAGGAGATGTAGAGGGTGTCCTTGCTGGGGCCACCCTCCCACTGGCCTGAGCCACTGGCGTTGAAGCGGTACGGAGACCCGATGTTGCTGGCTAGCTGGTACAGCCAGCTGTCCGTCTTGATGGTGTTGGTGAGCTCATCAATGACCTCATAGTCACCAATGCTGTACCAGATGCAGGCTAGCCAGTGGGCTACCAAGCCGAACACACACACCAGCAGCACCAGCACCGCAGCACCATACTCCAGATAGTGATCCAGCTTACGGGCCACGCGGCCCAGACGCAGAAGCCGGACCACCTTAAGGGAACTGAATAGGCTGCTGAGGCCCTATGGGAAATAAGAAATGAATAATCAAACATACAGGCACACAGACAGACAGACAGGCAGGCAAATACACAGACAGACACACAGACAGGCAAACTCAGATAGACAGATATACAAAAAGGCATACAGAGAGACCAACATACAGACAGACACACAGAGAAGCAAACTCAGATAGACAAACACACAAACAGGCATACAGACAGACAGACAGGCAAACACACATACAGACAGACAGACAGGCAAGCAGGCAAACACAGAGACAGACACATAGACAAGCAAACAGTCACACAGGTAGACACACAGGCAGGCAAACACACAGACAGACAGACACATACAGACAGACAGGCAAACGATCACACAGGCAAACAGACAGACAGACACATATAGAAAGGCAAACAGACACACAGGCAGGCAAACACACAGACAGACAGGCAAACAGAGAGACACACAGACATGCCTGTAATCCTTATGACTTCACATTGGCTTCCATTTTGGTGTAACTGACAGCTTCTAAGCTCACAGTCAGGAGGTAGCTGGGCACAGGCAGGCTATACATAGAGCCACGGGAAAAAATTAAGAGCATAGCACAATTTTTTTTTTTAACTCACTTCTCAATTTATGAGTATGCATCTGTGTAAACTATACATTTTTTGCAAACTCCAGATTGGCTCTTCCCTGCTTCTCATTAATGAAGGGCTTCTTCCTTGCTTTATGGGACTGCAGTCCTGCTTCTAGGAGCCTGATATGAACTGTCCTAGCAGTGCCCTTCACACCTGCACTTAATGATTCCTATTCTTTTTGAAGGTCACTTGATGTCATCTTCCGATTCCTGAGAAACTGTCGGAAAAGTTAACGGTCATTTCTGACATTACAAAGTCGCTTCCGCCCTTTTCCTGGCTGGATCATTCCCAGTGTTTCCTGCTTCACCTTATTCTTGTGTACTGCTGTCTTAGAAATTTTGAATCTGGAAGCAACCTGCCGCTCTAGTGTAGCCTCTGCGAGCAGAACCAGGATTAAACCAGGATTTAAAATTGCAGATTTGGTTAATAAATACAGAGTGGTCTCAATTTTTTCCATGGCTGTATGTGTATGGCTGGTTTGTGGCTCAGTGGCTTAGGGACAAGGGTGACCCCAAGCACATGAGCTCTCAGACAGAACTGACAGACACTTGCTGGTGACACATACAGTTAGGCTTCCTGGCAACTCAGACAGACTTGAACTACAGTAATTTTACCCACGGGGTCTGGATCGAGAAAAATGAACCACATTAACAAGAATAGCTGTCCCTGCTTCTCTGGGTGGGTATAGCAGGCTCTAGCTGTACAGCTGAACACTCTGCTTCTACAGTGTGGCTTTGACGAGATCTCACTACGTAGCTGGGTTGTGTCTGTTTCTCCACGTGGGTGCAGCAGGCATTGACTGTACAGTATATCTGTGTCTTTTTTTTTTGACACCGACTGCTATTTGCAACATTACTTCGAATGAGGATTCCTTTGATGGAGCATTGAGCTGTTAACTGTCACAGGCACACCTCTGAGCAACAGGCCTGGGGGTGGGGGGTGGGGGGTTTGGGCCGGAGGGCGGTGGGCGGGGTCACGTTACCGGCAGCACTGAGTCCTCTGCCCGCGTGGCATTCCCCCGCGGGTGGGCCGTCTCTCGGAGATGCCTGACTGACGAAGGGTCTGAAATGGGGTCCTTCAAAGACACGAACAGCACTTACGGCCATATCAAAGTGGATTAATAGTACACCATGTTTAATGGAGGAACTTGAAGCTAGTCATGCAGTGAGATAAGCGGCACTATGGCTACATCGATGTGGTCTATGTTAACACCCGTAAACAGCAGCCGGTGGCCAGAGGACTTCATAGGTGTCTTAGAAATGGCACGAGTGCTTCATTGAGCTAAATCATGTCCCCAAGTGACCCTTAATTCACTGTATTACAAAGAGATCAGGGTCACCCAGCACCCAGTGCCCCGCAGGGCCAGCATTAAGAGCCTCGCTTAAGAACCCAGAAGTGGTGTGATGATTGCCAGCAACAGTATTCAAAGCCACAACCTCAGGATTTTCTGCTAATCTTAACTAGGATGAACCTTCTGTGCAGTCAGGGACCACAGTGCCACAAAGACTGAGGTCACGCGACATCAGGTGAGCCCAAGACTACCTCGTGTGTAAGATCATAACATACATGCATCCAAAGCAGTCACCAACCTGCCATATCTAACTTCAACAGATTTTAATGGTGAACTACTTTGAAATCAACCAGGACTCAATTAAGGACATATTTTATTCCAAAACCAAATATTCCACTGTATGAATGGAAGAAGACTTACAACAGCACAAGCTCCTATGAGACGTCTATCACATCGATTCATGTGTTGAGTCTAAGCACATTAAAGAGTTATGCAAAAACCTGTAAAATACCTGTATTCACATTTGATCTTACTATAGCCAATTGTATGCTAATTATTAGTGAATAATAATTATTCACTAATAATTATTAGTGAAGACATCAACTATTTAGCTAAGCACAGGAGCCTTTCAGTTTTAAAGTAGTCTCCATTTATTAGCATTTACACTACAAAAAAATATGCAGTCAAATGCATCCCAGACCACCTCTGTAAGTGGTCTGTAAGTTTTAGTGAGTGGATCACAATGCATCTTGGTGGTTGTTCACACTTGTATCTAGCGCTGTCCGTTTGAGATCTGATCGCCCATGATGCATTTTAAAACCAGGTGTAAACAGGGCCTAGATCCTCCAACAGCACATGTGAGCATCTTTCCCTACAAACCGGGGTGCCCAGCAGCGTTGGGGAGCTCGCTCTCTATGGATTCCCAGAGGTCTTTTGTAAATTTTACAAAATTCTTCTTCCATTATATTCTGCCCCCTCCCAAAAATATCTAGAACTCTGTAAATGTAACTTACTGTTACATGTACTTATACTTTTGAGAAAGTATCACTTCCTAGCTACTGTATAAGAACAGTTGTAACTAAATCCCGCCTCTTCAATGCCCCCCTCCCCCCTGTACTTGCTCAGGTAACCATGAACGTTCGGCTTACAGAGGCAAACATCAGATGCCGCCTGCTGCTAAGGCTAATGCTAAAGCTGAGTGCCGGCTGCAGTGGGAGGAAAGCTCACGGGCACAGTCCCGCTTCCCCTCCTCTTCCCATGGGGAGGGAACTATTTTCAGCACAGTCACAACAAATCAAGTTACTGCATGCAGTTTGCGTGACTAAAGGCTCCCTATATTGCAGTTTAAGCACGCTGGGATTGATGCAGTAATACCCGGGGCTCGATTCGGCCAGAAGTGCCGCAGTATTGAGATCTCTGCCCGATGTGATTTTACTATCTTATTGGATTTGCGCGGCGGCTGGGGCTGGAGCACGGACAGCGAGGCGGACGCCTGTGACCATGGAAACTCAAACGTGAGCAGCAAAACACATAAGGGGGGAGTCCTTCTTATTAAGGCTTCTTTAGCTCATATTCTGCAGTCAATTGGAGCTCAGATAATGAGCATCTGATCGGCACTCTAATGCCATGCGGAGATGTACTGCGGCCATACGGCTCGGATTGATCATGGAGAATATGCTTTCTGTTTGTCTGCCGGAGTCAAAGACAAGCAGAAAATTGAATTTTGAAATCTCTCTATGATGGGATGGCGCCCTGTCCTGGGTTATTTCCTGTTTTGCCCTTGTTGTTTCTGGGATAGACTATAGACTGCCGTGACCCAGTGTAGGACAAGTGCTATAGAAGAAAGAATGAATGACAGTTCTCTTTAATGGTAGCACGTAGCATCACAATTGATGATATTTACTGGTAGCCTGAAGGTTGTTGGTTTATACTCCAGTCCCTACAATTGATACCATTCATCAATCCATCCATCCATCCATTTGTACTGGTCGGGGCCAATCCCATCCAGCATAGGCTGTAATCAGTTTTATATTCTATTTACTTACTTAAATCCTATTTTCTTATTTTCTGTCTATGTTATATTCTACTCTTCTTATTGTTCCCATATATGTATCCTTTCTCTTTTCTTTCCTTCTTGCACCAACAAGGACAGTATTCTAATTTCATTGTACCTTGTGCCATGGCAATAAATGCCTTCATTCATTCATTCATTCATAGAGGCAGAATACTGAGGTAGGTCCTGGACAGGCCTGCAGTGACATCCCTAAGTTTCACTGCTTGGAGTAAATACCAAGCTGTAAAACGTAGCAAAGCCAGAAGGTTCTGTAGAGAAAGGTATCGCAGGGCAAACACTGACTTCCGTGATTATTGTCATGGAGCCCCGTGGGTTTCTTACTGTTTCTCGATGGTCCGTTCGTCACTGGTGAATAATCCTGGGCAAAAACATCCCTGGCCAGGCTCCTGCATGCTGAAGCCATTTCTCACCTGTCATGCACACTAAATTTCATTTCAATCATGCAGCTTGAACCAGATTAAACGATAAACACCACGCCAACACACAGAAAGCCACTGCCAAAAGCAGCTAGTTTTAATGCTGACCTTTAGCGTATTCTGCCAAACGTCTAATTTTAGGCGAGTGGGCTTATGTGACATCACTGATGGCTCAGGCCTTTCGTGTTTAATTGATCCAGCAGACTATAAAGAGCTTTGATCGTCTGCCCCTCATTCGCACTGCTTTTTGAGTCGGCAGGCAAAAAGCGGCATGGAATCGCTGTAACTGTCCGCAGAGGAAACACAATCAGCTCAGATGCTCCGATAAAAGCAGCAGAATGATGCCAAATCACTGACTTGGGAATAAACAGGGAGGCACAGCCAAGGTAAACTCCTGAAAATGACATTAAAGAGTCAGCAGGGTGAGGAAGACGCTTCTCCTGACCGACGCCGATGGCGTGATTACATTTCGCCTTTTGCAGAAGGAATGAAAAGTGGAATAAAAAAACAATACACTGTACGTGGGTGATAGCAGTGACATCTCCCCAGAAATTAACACCCAAAAAACAAAATCACCCAAGTGGTCTCTTACTCCACCTACGGTATCTGCAGCACCGCCATGCAATTACATACAAAAACATAAAGCTCAGCGAAAAAACAGGACACTAGCAGAGTCTTTGCACAGTTAATACCCACTTACTCGCTCTCTACTCACCACAGCATAAACCTTAAGCTCAGGAAGTTCCACATACTCCTAACCATCCATTACACATCTCTGCAGCTGGGTTTGGAACCACATGATAAAATGAAAGCTTTATTGGTGGAAATATTGTTTTATTGTTAACCATAAGGATATGTGTGAAATAAATATTTTATACTCTTGTCTATCTTAAATCTTGCTGGGCCAGAACAAAGTAGCAGTTATGGTTTGTTATGATCAAAGGAGTCGTAGTTGGACCATATTATTGTCAGTGCAGAAAAGTGAAAATAACCAGCTTGCTTCTCTGCATCAGTGTATTTCTTATCTGACCAGGCAGCTCCTCACACATCAATATCATGGAGGAATGACGGCCTAATCCTCATGACCGTATCACGGGGGCCGGAACAGTGCGGCCCTTGGGACTGGACTGCTGGCTTATAACGTAACTCCTTCCTTATATAACTAGTCTCAGCATAAGAAAAAGGTTCACACTGGTGTAAACTGACATTCGATATATTGATGTATTGAAGATTTAGCTGAATGAAACTCTTCAGAAAAGCACAGTAGCACAATAGGAAAGCCGGAAACGCACCGTGAGGACAGGATCGTGATGACAGAGCGTGAGGACAGGAGCGTGAGGACAGAGCGTGAGGACAGAATTGTGAGGACAGAATTGTGAGGACAGGAGCGTGAGGACAGGAGCGTGAGGACAGGAGTGTGAGGACAGAGCGTGAGGACAGAATTGTGAGGACAGGAGCGTGAGGACAGGAGCGTGAGGACAGGAGTGTGAGGACAGAGCGTGAGGACAGAGCGTGAGGACAGAATTGTGAGGACAGAGCGTGAGGACAGGAGTGTGAGGACAGAGCGTGAGGACAGAATCGTGAGGACAGAGCGTGAGGACAGAGCGTGAGGACAGGAGTGTGAGGACAGAGCGTGAGGACAGGAGCGTGAGGACAGGAGCGTGAGGACAGAGCGTGAGGACAGAGCGTGAGGACAGGAGTGTGAGGACAGAGCGTGAGGACAGGAGTGTGAGGACAGAGCGTGAGGACAGGAGCGTGAGGACAGAGCGTGAGGATACATCTTCTGCTGCACTCACTTTCGAGGTCTGTGTGCAAGACAGTGCTAAAGAGACACAGCAGCTCCTCTGTAAGGTAAGAGCTCCACGGACGGGAGGCACCCCTGATCCCAGAGATGTTTCCCTAGCTCACTAACAACCGAGACATGCAGAAGTTTAGGGTATGCAGCACTTCAGGTCCCCGCTGCCCGGCAAGAACTGAAAGCTCATCAGTAATGCAAAAAAAAACTTTGCAAAATGCAAACTCACACAATAGGAGTAACAGGGCTTATGGAAAAAGCAGGAGCAGGGGAAAACCTAAGCAAATGCCCAACCAAGCCTTTCCCAAATTTTATAATTCTATAATACATTATACAGACAGCTTTCCCCTATTTACCAATCACATATTAGCCATTCCATGCTTTGGAAACTTGTGCAATAGCAGAACAGAGTGTATACCCATATTTAATGACCTCATCAATTCACCACTAAAGGGTTTGATCCAGCCATCATGGGACAAAGCCATAACTTTGACCGTATTCCTGTCTCCAGTACATTTTTATGTTTTACTGTCAGGGTCAGCGCCCGGCTGTCCCTGCCCTTCATGCCACTTCCCCGCTTGACCAGCAGGTGGGGCTGGCCATCCTGTTCCGTCCTCTATCTTCATACTAGCATGGCTCAATGAGTTGAGTGTATGATACAGACCCTGCACTTGTGGGTTCAAGGCCAGCTTTATCTGTTATTGTGTATTTACTTATTTTCTGTTTCCCTGGTGATTGTTTGCTATTTATTTCCCTGTCTTAGGTTTTCTCATTCTTGTGTCTAATTCACTTCTAATCCTGTTTTTATTTTTTAATTCCTTTTTATTATTTTAGTGTAGTCATGCCGGTTTATGATTTGGGTTTTCTAGTTTCAGTGTTCCTAGTTCTGTGCTTGTTAATTGTTCCATCTGTTGCTCGTTGTCCTGCACCCTAAGTGATTGGATAATTGTCTTATGTTCTCCACCTGCCCTCTCGTTAGCCTGGTTGTTGTGTGCATTCTAGTGGCTGCCTTACTTTGCTCTGTAGTTGGTCATTGTGCTTGTGCTACTGTGTGTATGTCAGACTGCTTGGTTCCCCCTAGTCCTGCTTCCTGATTGTGTTAAGTTATGCTTTCTTTATTTTGTCCGTGTTTAATCCTTGTTTTCCTATTTTTTGTGTTGACCCCTTGTGGTCCTTTTGTTTTGCAATTTACCCCGTGTGGTCTGTTTCTTTAATAAACCCCTCTTTGTCTTTGAGCTGCAAGTGGCTCGTCACCTTTTTCCCACCTGCACTATAGTCTGAAATATTTGCTTAGATATGTTTTTTTTTCTGTAAAGCCTTTCCTCCAAAATCAAATGTGACATTATGATGGTAAAATCAAAAATCGCTTTAAATTGAAATGCAAGTGGGAGCAACAATTTCATCTTGTAAAAAACACTGTTAAAAAACACTGTTCTGGAAAGTGATAATCTCCCCTTTCATCTATAAGGTTGGGCTTAACAAAACTCTGGTTTCTAAGACTGCGGAGAATGGGAAGTCAACACATAGCCTAGGCTAAAGATTATTAGGAGTTCAGAAGAAATGCTCAAATAGGCTGGCTTACCTCATCCACGTTTTCAAAGGCATTGATGATGTCATAGGGAAGGCAGGAAAGCAAGTCAATGACGAACCATGTCTTCAGGTAGTTCATTCGTATTAGCTTTGGGTCCGAGATAACCTCACCACCAGGACCCACAAAGGTGGTGTGAAAGTTCAGCACAATGTCCACCAGGAAGATGACATCCACCACGCTGTCCACTACCAGCCAAGCGATGTTGTTCTGCTTGTTCTTGAAAGATACATTGTAGGGCACCATGATGGCTGTGTAGAAGGTGAGGATGAGGATGATCCAGTCCCATGTAGTCTTGAAGGTGCAGTAGTGCAGAATAATGTGCGGTGGGGTCTTGGGTGCCTCCTGCTTGTACTGGGGGAGGATGTCCGAGCCCAGCTGCAGTGCCTGCAATCCGTGAGGAGATCACATTGTTAAAGGATCCTCCAGGTTCAAGCATGAGGGGATTTCATGTTCCACAAGAGTAAGGTGCCGAAAGTTCAAGACAAGAGCATTACATCACCACTAAAGCACTCTACATGCAGACTGATGTGACAATAACCTAGGAGGAGAAGGAGGAAACGCATTAGCTGTCCTGTGTCCCTTTGTGGCGTCTCCTTATAGCCTCACCTTCCACCAATTCCAGTTAACCTCAGCACCAGTCTGTCTCTTACCCAGCCGCATGTTGCTGAGTGAATAAACCATGAGGGCATAACGGAAGCTTCCAGAATCCACTACCCTGCCGTCCCCCTACTATCTGCAGACAAATGTACCTGCTTTGATTTCCTGTTTCACACAATGTTGGTGGTTCTGTGCCAACCCTCTGCTCGATAAGTGCATGAAAGAACGGATGGACAGATGTTTCTTTAGTGATAGTAGATATACTAGAACCGTCACATGAGAACATCAGTGCAGATTCTGGAACAGAGCAGGTACTGAGCGTGACAGTGTCTTGTTGCACGGCGGTCCTGCTCACCTCAGCCAATCGTGAGTGCTTGTGGCTGACCTCGGTCTTGTTCATGGGCGCCAGCTGCTGCATGGTGCTACGGCTGTTGGTGAGCGCCCGCGTCAGCCGCGCAAACTTGGTCCATCCTGTGGGTGCGATTAACCAAGTGCAGTCACCTCTCCAGTGGGCAGCCAGTGAAAGATGATACTTACCAATCAAATAATTTCATCGCTGTAAGCTCAGTTGTAAGTAAACCTGAATGCTATACGTCACCATTCACTTTCCTGAAGTTTCTGCTGAGCTCATCACAACAGACACCTTTTTCTTCAAATTGGTAGAAAATACCAAATCTCAACTGACCTAATAAACACAGATCTGTTCTACAAGCTGACAATTAAAGGCATCCTTGTCTTCAACATGAACGCCTGAGAAGTATCCAGGGATGCTGCTTTATCACACACCACTTTAATGACCCTTTTCCTGGTTTATTCCTTGTTTCTTAAGGAATCAGCTGGGGATTATCTTGGTAATAATGAAAGTCTGGACCAAACTCTGTTGGGTCACTGAAAGAGGGAGAGAATACAACTTATTTATCATACATGAGTAACTGTTGAGTCCCATTGTCATGCTGGTGGCAGCCCCAAGTATGTTTAACAGCATATGCATGAGAATATGTATGAAGAGAAGAGGCAGCTGTGAGCCTTTCAGCAGTGCACACAGACAGATGATCAGCAGTGTTCCTGTCGTCCTGCCTGGCCTGACATAACCCACAAGCAAAAGCCAGTTAGGCGCCCAGTGAGACACTGAGGGAGAACTGACTCACTAACTGGCCCTAGTCTGTTGATAGACAATGAAGTACTGTCTTGATCTGGTTAAAAAAGCGTGTCCCTTTCCCGGCACCCTTCCTACAGAGGACTGTGTCTTTCTCCCTGTAATGTGAGGTTAGGCACCGTCTGCCTTTATATTCCTTCCTACCATCTGCCTGCCCTTCACTGTATGTCTGGGCTACACTGTTCACACGTTTGATCACAGTTCCCTTCATGAGCTTCAATCACAGCCAACATCATAGACCTTTACAAAATACTCCTGAGCTCCATCCCAGGCCCAGTCCAGGCCTCCATCACAGGCTCCACTGCCTCCTTCCTGGATTCAGCATAAGCTTCTTCACTGCCACCAATGTGGGGTCTATCACGGACACCATACTCAGCCCCAAAATGAGCTCCTCGCATGCCAGGCCATGAGGACATCATATACAAATCAACCAGACCAATCTGGCCAATGGGATGCTTCAATGCCACCTTCCTCAATGTGATGGAGCTTCCTGAAGACCAACAAAAAGTGTTATAGCTCAGTGTAGCCCACTCAGTAATACTACTGGCTACATAAAAATGGCAGTAACAAACATTTGTTGTTTTGCAATTTCCCTTGTTTTTTCAGCAGAGATCAAAGTTATAGATAGAGGTACTCAACCGTGATCGTATAATAATACTTACGCCCTTAATTGCTTTATTGAAGTACTTATTTAGATAGTAAATCAGGTCATCTCCTCCTTCAGATGTCAATCAACATTAAATAAATTGTATTAACTGTACAGGAGGATGTTCAGTGGAAAGGAATTCATGGGTCTATTGTAATCTTGGCAGAACTCCAGCTCTCACAGACCAGGGCTAGCTTGTCTTGTCAGATTACTCTACATTTCTCTAGATTACTCCAGTCCTCAATACTCACTTTGTTACTTTTTCCTGTTCTGTTTCTTAAATGCACTATAGCTGTAGTGTAGAATGTGGTGGTATGCTGTGTTTATCTGGCAGACTTTGTCCCAATTAACTCCCAGCTGGTTTATAGAGTCTGCTCTTTAAAAATAGCTGGAGGGGATGGGAGGCTGCAGGTCTCCACAGCTGGAGGGGATGGGAGGCTGCAGGTCTCCACAGCTGGAGGGGATGGGAGGCTGCAGGTCTCCACAGCTGGAGGGGATGG